GGAGAAAGATGAGGCGTTCTACTTCGGTAAAGAGTTACCATCTCGGAAACTCACAGGGGGCAGTTCTGCCCTGTCCTGCAGGGCCGCCATGAGACAGCATCACAGCTTGCAGCCCAGGGGAGGATCACTCAGGTCCAGGGAGTCATAGGAGTCTTACAGATCCCCACGGACTGAACCTGTGCTGTGTGCCAGCCACCACAGGAGGCGCTCTGTGCCTGCGTATCAAATGGTTCAATCCCGACAATGTCCTGGTGAAGGGGCGCATATTGTCTCGATTTTATAGACGAGGGGGCTTGGGCTTGGAGAGGTTAAGCCTGGGCTTGGCTGGCCTGGGGTGGGGGAGACACATACCGTGACAATCTGAAGAGTCACAGCTATGTAGGTCTGCTCACTCACCTCTCTTCTCTGAGCCTCAGTGTCCCCATCTATAAAACAGTGACTGTGTCGCGGCCCCGCATGGGAGGGCGGGACGGTTCTTCGAGCTCACAGGCAAAGCACTGAGTGGCAGGGCCAGGCACAAGGAGCTTCTCAGAAGTCATTCTACCAAGGGCCAAGGGCAGTGCCCATGAGGGAGCTGCAGCAGGGCCCCCACCGCTGGTCCAGTTGCTCACTGTCCGGCCCCATAGCATCTCATCTGGCGCAATAAGGATGTGACAGGATGGGGGGTTGGCTTCCTGCATGGTGGTTCTGCTCCTCCCACCCTTTTCCAGACCAAGCTTTGAGCAGCTGGTGGGCCCAGCCCGGTGCCAGGCAGTCCCCAGAGGGCTGCCCTGCATCCTCATGGAGAGCAGCTGCCCATGGACCCATGGAAGGGCACCATGAAGGAGCGTGGCCAGAGTCAAAGGGTGGGGCGGCCACTCAGGGCAGCAGGATTGGCTGGTGTCGTGGTGTGTGTGTGTGTGTGTGTGTGTGTGTGTGTGTGTGAGTGTTGTCTCCTGCAGCCACAGGGAAAATCCAAGGTATGACAGGGGGGGTGGGCCAGCATCCAAAAACGCACAGAAATGGGGTGGACCAGAGTACCCTGCCACTTCTGCTCCTACAGGCTTCGGATAGGGCTAGGTGGGTACAAGTGAGTCCTGGGTCACCTCCTCTAGACCAGCATAGGGCTTTCACCTTGAGCTTCAGGATGGTCGGTACAGCCCTACCCCCACCCTGGCTGCTTCTCTCGGTGCCCATCCTGGTGGTGACCCTGGTTCTTGACAGTGTTCTAGGACCCAAAGGGGGGGAGTCAGGGAGGAAGAGTCCTTGTTATGGTGCAAGCAGAGGAGCTTGGGGGTCCAGGGCACCCTTCAGTTCTCTCATTCTTAGGAGGGTGGGTCTTGGTATGGAGGTCTTCTCTTCTACAGGAGGATTTGCTGATGGGACAGATACCCAGTGTCCACCCCACCCAGGGCTGTGCTGGCTGAGCAGCTCCCCCTGTTCTGCCTCCACGCCCCCCACCCCCACCCCCAGTGCCTAGCTTTGTAGATGGCCCAGACCAGGTGCAGTTGAGATGCGATTAGGGCCTGTGTTTGAGGGATGCATTCTTTAAAATGAAGAGGGAATCAAAGAGGCTCCCTGGACACCATCACCCCCTTCTTCTCCCTTTATGGTGATGTAGGAGACTCCCCAATGCTGGACTCAGACAGCCCTATAGACAGGTGGAGAAGCCACCTTAATCACTGGCAGGCAGTGGGGAAAGAGGTCCCTGTCTCTGCTCTGGGGAGGCTGCAGGCTAGATACTCCCCCCACCCCTCAAGGCAGATGTCTGTCCTAGTTGGTTGTCGTATAACCAGCCAGGTGGGCAGGACCGATGGGACAGTGGTCCACCAGCCCAGTGCTCCCAGCAAACCCCACTGGCTCCAGCCTGCTCTCTCTCACCTGCCCTCCTTGGAAGCAGCCAGAAGGGTCGAGATTAGGTGCAATCAACCCTTCCTGAGCTTCAGGTCTCTGCCAGAGCCAGGCTTTCTGTTCTGGAGAGAGACTCGCAGGCTAGCTGGGGTGATGAGGTCTAGACCCAGGGGACATAGAATCAAGTGCCAGCACTTGCAGGACCGTGCATTCTGTCTGTCCAGCCAGGCTTCCCCTCACTAGACCTTAGTAGCCAGTACTAGCTCACTGACGGGCTTCTCATTGGCCAGAGGCCAGTCATCTGATGCCAAGGAGGTTGGGGTACCCAGCGTCAGAGGGCCCTGGGGCAGCTGAACCTTTGTGATGAGGAATTTCAGTTCATTAGCGTTGTGTGGTCTCAGAACAGTTTACTCATGGTACCCTGGGACTTTGGGGATCTTAGGCCAAGCGCCACTCCTGGCCCCTCCCAATGCCAAATAAGGAAGACTCCTTCAGTCTCATCCCTGTTGGCCACCATGGTAATGGGATAAACCTCTGTAGTCCCGATAGTGGGTGAGGGGGCCCGTGCGGGGTGGGGGGGCGGGAGGGCGGGATGGGTGGCTTCTAGGGTCCGAGCAGGTTAGCAGCCTGTGGGCCGGAGCAGGATGAGATTCAAAATATTTCCCATAATTAAATGGGCCCCCTTTGCTTGCCCTCCAACGGCTGTACATTTCAAGACATCATCTTGGAGGCCCGCTATGGCTCCCAGCACCGCAAACAGCGTCGCAGCCGCACGGCCTTCACTGCCCAGCAGCTGGAGGCCCTGGAGAAGACCTTCCAGAAGACCCACTACCCAGATGTGGTGATGCGTGAGCGGCTGGCCATGTGCACCAACCTGCCTGAGGCCCGCGTGCAGGTATGCCCCAGTTCTCCGATGCAGACCTTGACCCCTCCCGAGGCGGCTTCCATTGCCCGGAAGCTGACATCTCAGCCACAGTGTGAGGTACAGCTGCCACCCCCATGAAGGCCCCAGGTGGTAGGAGGGGAATTTGGGATGAGATTGCAGGTGCATGTTTCCTAGAGGTGAGGGGGGGGGCAGTGGTGTCATATACACACCCCACCCCACCCCTGAGCACCCTGCTGTATGCCTTTCCATCTTACCCTCTGCCGCCTGCCACTCCCGGCCTCCTGCCCCCAGGTGTGGTTCAAGAACCGCAGGGCCAAGTTCCGGAAGAAGCAGCGCAGCCTGCAGAAAGAGCAGCTGCAGAAGCAGAAGGAGGCCGAGGGTTCCCATGTGGAAGGCAAGGCTGAGGCCCCCACCCCGGACACCCAGCTGGAGACCGAGCAGCCCCCCGGCCTACCGAGTGGCAACCCACCCGCAGAGCTTCACCCTAGCCTGTCCGAACAGTCAGCCAGTGAGTCAGCCCCTGAGGACCTGCCCGACCGAGAGGAGGAGCCCCGGGCAGCGGCTGAGGATCCCAAAACTGAGAAGAGCCCTGGGGCGGAGAGCAAGGGGCTGGGCTGCAAGAGAGGCAGCCCCAAGGCAGGTGAGACCTGGGGGTCTACAGGTGGACTGGGGGGTAGGAGATGACAGGCCAGGCCTACAGGGGCCTGGGTCTCTGCAGAGGGTGGTGAGAGCAAGGGGAAGAGTCAACCTTCAGTGACATGACCCGCTAGAAAGCACTTGGCCACAGCCGGGTCCTGGGCGCCCATGGCAGGTTCACCCTTCAGTTGTTCAATCACAGGAGAAGGTACAGGGGATTTAGAGGAAGGGGCTGATTGGCAGGGGTGGGTGGCACTCATTGCTCAGAGCAAAAGCTATTTATTTATCAGTTTGTGTGGCACTGATAGTTTGTGGTCACTTGACATGCGAAAGGCCGGCAGTTAGAATGCACCCTTGATGCCACGGAAGAAAGCCCTGGTGGTTTGCTTCTGTAAGGAGTGTAGAAACCGCCTGGAAGAGTCCCACAGTTCTACTGCGTAACACACGGGGCTGCCATAGGCTGGGATCGACTCGACGGTGGTAACGGGTGTTTCTTCTGGTGGAAGTATTTCAGGCTGTTGGCATGTAGGGCAGACACGGCAGAGCACATGGGGGGACCAGATGTGGAGCTGGGTTTCCCAGGGCACAGAGCATATTTCATATACAAACCCCCAGACCAGGCAGGGAGGGGATAGGACTTTGAGAAGAAAAAGGGATTCCTCCCTGGAGCTCCCCTGGAAGCCTGGGCCCCTCCCTCGCAGGGTATCCTGGCTGAGACCCAGAGGGTGGCTTCCAGCCAAGGCCTTAGCTGCAGTGCCAGTGGAGTGGGTGGCCCACCAGAGCCCTGCTCCTGAGTGCTTGGTTCTCTGCTTGCAGACTCCCCAGGCAGCCTGGCCATCGCTCCTGCAGCCCCTGGGGGCGGCCTGCTGGGCCCCTCCCACTCCTACTCCTCGTCCCCACTGAGCCTCTTCCGCCTGCAGGAGCAATTCCGCCAGCACATGGCAGCCACCAACAACCTGGTACACTACTCATCCTTCGAAGTGGGGGGCCCGGCCCCAGCCGCTGCTGCTGCCGCTGCCGCCGCCGCAGTGCCCTACCTGGGCGTCAACATGGCCCCACTGGGTTCCCTCCACTGCCAGTCCTACTACCAGTCCCTTTCGGCTGCTGCCGCGGCCCACCAGGGGGTGTGGGGCTCCCCACTGCTGCCCGCACCCCCTGCAGGCCTGGCTCCCGCCTCGGCCGCCCTGAACAGTAAAACCACGAGCATCGAGAACCTGCGGCTTCGGGCCAAGCAGCACGCTGCCTCCCTGGGACTTGATACACTGCCCAACTGACGGCCTGGCTGCAACCCAGCCAGGGGTCTTGGGTCCCCAAGCCCCATGGTATCCCCAGGTGGCTCACAAGGAGTTAAATCTAAGAGCCGGGGGACTCCTGGGGCCTGGAGTCTTGCTCCCCTCCTTCCCCCTCCCTGAGAGTCCCAGCCTGAAGTGGAGCCCAACACCCCACTACACCCTCTGCATGGCCCTGCTTGGACCCCATGGAGGCCGCCGGGGAGGAGGTGAGAGGCTGGGGTGTCTTGGCTTTTCCCAGAGGAGTGAGAGGCTCTCGCTGGCCAGGTCCCCACCTCAGTGTCCTCTCCTCCCTCTGCTCCTGCCCTCTAGTATGTTGCTGTGTGGAATGTGAGATATAAATATGCATATATAAAACTATATTTTCAGGCACCTACCTGCCTGCCCCAGGCCCCCTGCCTGCTCCCACCCTTCTTCTCTTCCCCACCAGCTCCCCTGCCTCAGCCTGCAGCTCCTGCTCCAGTCCCCTCCACTCCCCCACCCCCCCATCTTCTCCCCTTGATCTCCTCTCAGGTCTCTGCCCTGTCTCCCTCCTCCCTCAGGCCTTCCCCACCCTGATCCGCCTCCCGTTGTGCCCCCTGCCTCAGTGGCTTCCCTTGGTGCTGGCTGTGGTGGTGGTGTCGGTTTCCAGGCCGTGTTTGGTCTGGGGCTGTGGACTCTTGGTTTTTAGTCTTCTTGCTTCTCCCTGTTCTTCTTCCTTCGCACTTGCCCCTTGCCTACTGGCCTCCTCCCCCAGCTCCCCCAGCTCCCCCAGCTCCAGGCAGCTATTCCTCCATAGAGGCAGGAAGTCATAGCCAAGGCCCAGGCCTGCCACCCAGAAGGGGTGATGAGTCACCTTCTCGTCTCTCTCTACAGCCATGCGGTCCCAGTTCCCAAGATTCAGAGGAAGGGACTGGAGGCAGTCAGGTCGGGGACCATAGGATGGCTGGGGACTTACCCCACCTGTAAGTCCTCCAAGGCCAGGTGCCTAAGGCCTGCCACTCATCCTTAGCCCTTCCACCCTGACTTCAGGGCTCCAGACCATTCTTTGGTGAGACCTCCCTGTTTGGGAGGAGGCAGCTGGGAATGGGTGGTCTTGGAGTGGAGGGCTCCGGCAAAATGGGGCCACGAGGGTGAGTTTGTATAGAGCATTCCCTTAAGGCAGCTGTGCCAGGGCCAAAAGTTGGGAGTTCTGGCTCCCATCCCAGTGAGCACCTGCTAGCCAGCCGCATGGTCTCAGAGCCCATAGTGGAAATCAGACTTCTGCCCAGCTAGTCACTGGGAACAGACACTTGTGCTCCTGCTTATGGCCAGGAAACCTAGCTCTACACACGCTCCTTCCAAGCAGTGTGACCATGGACAAGCCAGCAGCCTCTCTGGGCCCACTTCACCCTCCGGTGCCATGGGCTGTTGAGGTGCTCGCAAGCTCTGGCATGCCGCAGTCTTTCACAAAACCGACCAAAAAGACTAAGAAGCACAATGTATGGATTAGAAAATGACTATTCCCTGGGGCAATTGCCAGCACGTCTCTGGGCCTCGGTTCTGCGACTTCAGACAGTCTGGATTTGAGCCTGCTTTATTTGCAGGAGCACCAGTCTAGCGTCTGTGGTCACCTCACCCCCAGGCACTGCGATGGTCCCATGGGCTTTGGGCAAGGGGTGGCGGGAAGCCCTTAGGCAGAATCCTGGCCGTTTCTCCAAGCCCTCTGGGGCCCACTACCGAACCCTCCTCTTTCTGCTCAGAGAAGTCGCATCTGAAAATCACTCCCAGTGGGAAGAGAGCTGTCTCTGGTGCAGGGCTCTGTGCCGCAGTCAATGCCCCTTGCCCCTGGAGGGCCGGATGGTGGGGAGCAGGCAGGGGAGGTGTGGGGTGGGAAATGGTGAGGGCAGCATAGCCTGGAGCGCAGGAAAACAGTTTGAGGGTGAGGCTGCGTGGGACTGAGCGGCCCTGAGTCCGGGCCGAAGCTGATACTTCAATGTGTCGAGTTGAGGGGTATCTTGCACAGGAGACATTTGCTGGGCACTGGCGGGTTGGTCTGGGGGACAGATCCAGCAGCCGTGGGAGCCACGGGGAAGGTAAAGCTCTCCTGGTGTTGGCAAGCTGGAGGAGACCCCAGGAAACACACGACGGGGGTTGGCTTGGTGGGGTTTTCTGAAACAACACATTGCACCCAGACCAGGCCTGGGGACGGGATTTTCTAGCCTGTACCTGGATGTGCATGACAGTGGACCCTGGAACCCAACACTTCTAGGAAAGCTCCCCAACTTAAGGGGCACATCTGGCCGGTACTCTGCCCAGCGTCCCTCGGATATTTGTCAGCACTTCTCCCATCCAGCTGACCCACTGCCCAGAGAGGAGCACATTCGGCCCCCACACCAGGCCCATCTCAATCTAGGGAGCGGACCAGCTTCAGGGGCAGACAGCAGCCAGAGAACAAGAAGAAAAGGTGCTCCTGGCTGGGTGGCACTGAGTTTCTTACAGGGCGAGGGTATGGGGTGGGCTCACCGCACCCAAGGGTAGTGGAATCCATTCCCAGGCCCCCTGGGCCCCCTGGTGGCCCCTGCTCTGACTTCCCTTCCAGGAAAGCCTCATTCCTCACCGGTCCCTCCTATCGGGGGCCTCCCTTTCCCTGTTAGCTCCCCTGCCCTGAGCATGGTCTAGAGGCCTGTGCCCCCCACCCTGACTCGGCAGCCGACCGACTGGGCTCCAAACCAGCTCTTCTGTGACCATTTGTGCTTAGAGGTTGTGGCAGCCCGTGGCAAAAGCACTGTGTGCCGTATTTATTTATTCTGTTAGTTGGAAACAAACAAAAAAACAAGACTCAAACTGCCCCCCCCCCTTGCTCTGCCCCCTCTGTAGTGCAGCATGACTCTGTCCCGTGTATCCGTCCGTCTGTCCGTCTGCCTTCCTGTGACATTGTGATCTGTTCTTCGTCCGACTTGGCTAATAAAAGAAAACCCGGCAGCCTAGACCTTGACCATGTTCATTCCCAGGGGAGGTGGTGGCCTGCAGTGGCGGGGTCTCCACGTCTGTCCACTGATTCTCCAACCCAGGGGGGAGCGGGAGAGAGAGGGAGACAGGCCTCGAGCAGGCACCCTGGACCTGGGTCTGGAAGCTCTCCGGGGACCCTCGGCGGTCTGCGGCAGCGGGCCCCTCCAGATGGTTGTGTGGGAGCCGAGGGAGCTGAATGGAGGTGGTTCCACCTGCTCCAGGCTGATTGGATCCAGGCTGGCCAGGGGACGTCTGGGAGGGGAGGAGGGTGTTTAGCTCGGCAAACACCTGCCTCAGTAGGAGGGGCCTTCAGGACCATGAGGACCAAGGTGTTCTGGGGGGAGCTATGGGCCAGGGCACAGACAGGGAGATGCCTGAGGAACCCCAAAGCTGGAGCTGCTCTCCACGGGGTGTGAAGCCTTTAGAGGGCGTGGCTGCTTGTGCTCAGGGGGAGCAAGCAGCAGATAGAGAGGACTCTGCTACAGGCGGCAGGTTACACTGACGTTTACGATGGTCCTGCTAGCTCGGGGACTGCATCCTTGGTGGTGCAGTGGCCAACAGCGCTCAGCTGCTAGTGAAAGGCTGCCTGCTGGAGCCCACCAGCACTTCCGAGGGAGAAAGATGTGACAGCCTGCTCCCATGAAGATCGGCACCTTCAGAAACAAAGGGACAGGTCTCCTCTCGTACTGTAGGGTCGCTATGAGTTGGGATTGACTTGATGGCAGTCCATCTGGTTTTTATTTTGGTTTTAGCGCTGGGGCCGGTGTGCAAGTGTTATTATAAGGCTGTGCATAGTATGAGAACCTGTATGCCGACTTGACGTGAGAGAGAGAGAGAAAGAGAGAGAGGGGGGAGAGAGAGAGAGACTGCGACCAGCTAGAAGCAGGGGCTGCAGCAGGAGTGCCATCTTGGCCCTTCCTGCTGCAGCTCAGGACATAGGTGACAAGATGTCCCCACTCAGCCCTCCTGACCCTGGTTTCACCCCCACTCTGCTCCCTGGAGTGCCAGTGTGTCCACAGGGCTGCTGGTGGCAGGGGAGGGCCCTGTCGCAGGAGTTCCTGGCAGAAGCTCAGCAGGCCTGAGCTGTGGGAGAGTGGCCTTCAGAAGTTCCTGGGCTGGGGGGTGCGCAGGACCAAGTGGCCCTGGGAGGGCACTGACCCCAGGAGATGCATTCCTCTCTCTTCTGTGGGGCTGAGGATTAGGGCGGGAGCATGCCCCCCACCCTGCTGCCTGGCCTGGATCAAATATCACCGATCTGCTCCCCCTGGGCCCTCCTCCCCCTACCTCAGCCAGAGGCTCAGCCAGAGGCACACACCTTCCCTGGCACCAAGCAGTTCTGGTCCCCACTCATTCCGTACTACCCGCCTCATCCCAGACAGGACCCTGCTCTCCAGACAATTACAACACAGGGTGACTTAGGGGTCAAAGGACAGAACTGTGGGGTTTCAGAAGACCCTCTAACTCAGCCTGGGGATAATCAGCCTCATCAGGAGAGCAGGTGGCAAAGGATACACACACACACACACACACACACACACACACACACACACACGGCAGCATGGCTGGACTGGCTGGGAGTCCCAGCAGAGCAAGGGGCCTGTCTGGGGTGGGGCAGAGGTTGTGGGGGTGCCAGGGGCTGAGAATGGAAAGGGCAGCCTGTCCCGCCTCCCACCCAGGGCTTGGACTCCAGCCTGAATGCTGCAGGGGGCACTGGGAGTTTTTCCCAGCAGGGGAGTGGGCTGATCAGACTGGCATTTTAGAAGCTCCCTCCTCCTCCTCCCCAGACACACACACACTCACACACACACACACACACACACCTTTGCCACATGGAGGTTTCCTGGGGAGAGGTGGGAGGCGGGAGTAGAGGGGGGGCAGAAGGCCATTGTTGAGGCCTGGTGGGGGACGGAGGGTGACAGTCCCTGGGGGGGCGTGGGTGCCGAGGTGGATTCCTGGGAGATCCAGGAGGTAGACTCACCATGGTGGCTGTGGCACCCCCAGGCTCCCGGGGGTGG